TCCAGGCTCCCCTCCCCAGCCCCCCGCCAATACTGTGAAGCCCCCTTCCCACTCAGCCTGGTTTCCTGGTGAGGGTCCTGCAGTCGTGGGCCCTGGGGGACCCCCAGGGAAAGGCCACCAGGAGGGAAGGGACCAAGGGCATCCTTGGGCCAACTGTCCACCTCTCTTGTCCACTGTTCTCTCCTTCCCACTTCTGTCTTCGAAAGGCTCCTTCCCAGGATGGATTGGGTGCTAGGATGACTACAGTCCAATCCACCAGCTCTCCCTGCCCCTGTGTCTTATTTCAGACATGAGAATAACTGTACAGTGTAAACTTACAAAGCGTTTTTAATGGTTGTAGATTGGAAATAAAGTATGTCATATGAACAGTTGCTGTGAACTTGGCCTCCTCTCTGATTTCTCTAGCTGGATGGGTGGGGTCCCCAGCAGATTTGAAACCTGATTCCATCCCACCCATGGTTGCCTGGGAAGAGGGGAGCCCTGGGAATGCCACAGCCAGCTGGCTGGTTTGGAGTCACTTGGGAGGGGCCACCAGATGTTCTGGCTGTAGACAGCTGATATTTCAGCATCTCCCGCCAAGTGTGTTATGACCACTGAGAAACACATGCAGAGTATTTAAAACAAAGAAAAATAGAATTGGGGGCCGGGTGCGGTGGCTCACGCCTGTAATCCTAGCACTCTGGGAGGCCGAGGCGGGTGGATTGCTCAAGGTCAGGAGTTCGAGACCAGCCTGAGCAAGAGCGAGACCCCATCTCTACTAAAAATAGAAAGAAATTATCTGGACAACTAAAAATATATATAGAGAGAAAAAATTCGCCGGGCATGGTGGCACATGCCTGTAGTCCCAGCTACTCGGGACGCTGAGGCAGGAGGATTGCTTGAGCCCAGGAGTTTGAGGTTGCTGTGAGCTAGGCTGATGCCACAGCATTCACTCTAGCCAGGGCAACAGAGCGAGATTCTGTCTCAAAAAAAAAAAAAAAAAAAAAATAGAATTGGACTTTTCTACAAAAGACTTAAAAAATGTATCATGAGAAAAAAGACACTTTTAGGTGTGTGTTAATTATCTGTTGCAGTGTTACTAATTATCCCAAAACATTTATTATATCCCACAGATGCTGTCAGTCAGGAATTTAGGAGCTGGGTAGTTCTGATTTGGGGTCCCAGGAGGTTGCAGTCAGGTGTCACTCAGGCTGCAGTCATTTGAATGCCTGACTGGGGCTGGAAGATCCATCTGCAAGGTGGTTAATTCACACGCCTGGCAAGTCAGTGCTGGCTGCAGTGGGCCTCAGTTCCCTACCATGTGTACCTCTCCATAGGGCTGCTTGTGTGTCCTCACAGCATGGTGGCTAGCTTCCCCCAGGGCAAGTGATCTATGAGAGAGCAGGGTGGAAGTCACAATGTCTTTTACAGCTAGCCTTGGAAGTCCCATAGTATAATTTCTGTGATAGCTTATTGGTTATATAGACCAGCTCTCTTAAAAGTGGGAGGGGACCACACAAGGGCATGAACATCTAGAAGCAAGGATCATTGGTGTCGTCTTGGAAGCTGGCAACCACGTGCTATTTTTATAGATCTCTTAAGACCCAGGCCTGTGCTAGGCACTGAGGATACAGAAAAATGTAAGATGGGCCTGGAAGATAGGAAATCAGATGTCAATGGCAGGGAGCAGCCCAGGATACTTGGGGAGCCCAGAGGAATCAGGAAATGCTTCACAGAGGAAAGGACATCTGAACTGACACCTAAGGTAGACATACTGACCAGGTGAAGGGGGTGGTGATGTGTTGTAGGCAGGAGTCTCAGGGGAAGTAGTTCCAGGGAGAGGGAATAGCATGTGTGAAAGCCTAGTAGAGAGAAGAGCAGAACTGGGTAACTGAAAGAAGAGGCTGGATCAGATCACACAGTGCCTTTTAGAGAAAAAAATTTTATACTTCCTGTGGACAGGAGGGAGCCATGGGAAAATTCAAAAGCAGGGAGAAGACATAGAGGATTTATTAGGTCTGGATTCCATGAAGTAATATTCTCAGTGTGCCCCAGGATGGCCAGCCCTAGCTGGGGACATTCTGTTCTGTTCTTGGGACACTGACAAATTAGGAATTTAGGAGGAGGGCAAGCATAGAAAGAACTGGGTTACCTTTGAGCCCCAGAAAGTGCAATTCAGGGAACCAAGAGCAAATCTCTGCTTTCAGATGGCTGCTGGAGCCAGCAAAGCAGAACCACAGGGTGGAAATTTCAGGAAGGCAGATTTCTGCCTTCCGTCAGAAAACTTTTCCAAGGACCACAACTGCTATGGAAGGATGACCACAGTCAGCTCCAGCTGCCTCTCCTCAACCCCTCTTGCAGAATTTGTGGGTTGCTCTTAATTCAACATTTGGAGGTTTCAGATCTGAAAGTAAGGACTGTGCAAATCCAAGGGGACATTTTGGTGGCGCCAAGCTGGTGCTGAGGAAGCAGCCTGCTGTCTGGAGCCTCCCAGGCCCGCAAGGAATAATGAAACAGGCACAACTTCCTGGGAGCACAGAAGGGACATCTGGTTTTCAGCCTGGGGCCACAGAGTAAGCTCTGAAAGAGACGATTTCGTTAGCCGAGGCTTAAAATTGAAGAATTTTGCTAGGAAAAGCAGGGAAAGGCTTTCCAAGCAGAGGGAATGGCTTTAGCAAAGCAATTAAGTTTGAGAAGGGGGTGGCCTGTAATGAGGCTGGCAAGGAGAGTTCTTGAACTTTGCCGTGTATGGAAGGGCCCACAGAAGGAGACAAAGTCCTAAAGCAAGAGTGGGATAGGCTGAAGCAAACTGAGCTCAGAGCTCCAGTCCACCCTGTGGGGAGTCACGGTCCACATTTTTGGAGTTAGGAAGACAAAAGGAGGGGGGACCATGGCCTAGCGACTAGGGAGGATATCAGATGCCCTCTGATGCACTGTATTCCTTCGGTAAGTATCTCTCTGGGCCTCTGTTTCCCCATCGTAGATGGGATTTGGGGCCCGTCGGGCGCAAAAGGACTCGGTACTGTGGCGAGTCCCCGGAGGGCCGCAGCAGGGAAGGTGGTGACGTAGCTGCAGGTACCAGGAAGGACTCGGACGAGAGGGGCGGAGCCAACAGGAGCCGTGAACCCGGTGTACGCTTGCGCGTTGCGGGGGGAGGCGTTCTGCGCGCGCGTGCCCGAGAGGCCGGAGGCCGCGCATGCGTTCTAGGTTGGCGGGAGTTTCCGAAGCGGCGACAGTGGCGTAGAGGCGGACGGCGCACCCTACCTGCCCCAGGGGGGACCATCTCAGTGGCGCTAGGGGCCGCTGGGGCCGCGGAGAGTGACCTGTGGCTTTGTGTTTCAGGAACAAGGCCCAGGACCGGACAGGCGTCTGAGGTCAGAAAGTCGCAGACTTCTCCCCTGTTATGGCTCTGCTCGCCCCCCACCAGCCTCTTTGGCGTCGGACCCCTCGGCCCAGCCTGACTTGCTGCTCCCCGTGCCCGTGACAGCGGATACTGTGGGGCACGAGGGCCGCTGAGACCTCCTCCCGGGTGAAATGAGACCCAAGGGAGGGCCACGCCCGCGGTTACGGGCCTGTCTGCAAAGCCAGCGGTCTAGACTCCAGAAAAGTGGTTAAGGACTGTGCAGAGGGTTAGGGGTGACAGGCCTGGGTTCCAATTTCTTTTCTGCCCCCCGGCTGGCTGTGTAAGAATCTTGGGCCAGGTTTTTTGTCCTTCCGAACCTCAGTTCCCCTGTCTACAAAGTGGAGTTAGTAGTGTTTATGGAATTTTGGAAGGGATCAGGTGGGATAATGCTACAAATAAAGCGCTTGCGTGGTACAGGTCCTGGCATATTGTAAACTCTTAACAAATGACAGTTGTTGCTGTTATTATCCAAGTTGGATCTGTGTGATAGTCATAAAGACTGTGGGGATTGAGATCCTTGAGCGACCCCTCCTAATTGTTACCTTTTCCATATCGTCTTTCCCAATGTATTCATTTCTCTTTACTAAGCACCCCCACAGACAGATTTCTGCTGGCAAGGAGGGGTAGCATGGAAGATAAAGAGATGCCTCTGTCATGGCCCTGCCCTCTTCCAGTCAGTTGTCCCTTAGAGACACTGGGAATACTAATTCGGTCTTGCTGGAGAGACAGACATGTAAATAGATTTTATAGCCAGTGCTTGGGAGACTGAGGGGTGCAGTCTGTAGCCACCAACTCTGTCAAAGAGAAGTGGTTGGGAAGGATGAATAAATTTTACAGGTAGAAGGACAAATGTGTGCAAGGATTCAAAAATAGCACAGGGAGACTGGTACAGTGGCTTGCACCTATAGTTCCAGCTACTCTAGAGGCTGAGGCCAGGGGAACACTTGAGGCTAGGAGTTTGGTATGGTGAGACCACATCTCTTAAAAAACAAAAAAATAGTACAGGGAATAGGAGTGGCAGGAGAGAGCAGGAATAGGTAGGTTAGGACTAGCTTGTGAAAGGGGTTGAATACACTTTTTAAAAACCTCTGCAGCTGTCTAAAGAATGGATTGGAGAGGAGCAACTGGTTGTAGGAAAACTAATGGAGAGACTGATAGTGGGAGGGGGAAGCAGAAATTATGAGAACTGAACTAGTAACAGTGGGAATGGAGAAAAGACTTAGAGGGACTATTGGTAGAATGGATAGGACTTTGGAGCTGGAGAGCTAAGAATAATAAGTACAGGATAATAAGGTTTTTCTAGTTTGGAAGATCAGGGAGATCATAATGTCATCAACAGAATTAGCAAATGCAGGACGAGTTAAACACAAAATAATTGGAAAGTAAGGTAGGGTGTGTGTTATGGGAGATGTGAGTATTTCTAACAATAAGTTCTGTAGAAATTCAGAATAGGAGGTGTTGACCCCTCTTGATACTCTCTATGGAGGAGGTGGATGAGGGCAGTTCAGAGAGGCTGGAAAGCACAGGGCTTATGCTGGGTGCTGTTCCACTAAGAGTGGAGCTAAAATGTGAAGAACAGATCACCTCATTTTCCTATTTTCAGAGTTGCCCACCCAAGATGACTTCAGTGACTAGATCAGAGATCATAGAAGGTAAGTATTGTAGTGAAATTCAGTACCTCTTGCCTTGGGTTCAGGCATCTGAGCCATACTCAAATCCTTTCCTGGCTCCTGGTGGATTTGGAATTGCATATTCTTGTATTTGCTGAGATACTTCCTCAATGTTTCCATGATCTGGGGCATACATTTGCTTTTTCCGCCTTTTTGCACAAATACTTAGTTGTGGTGGGTTTGATTTTGTATCTTGACTTTTTTGTAACAAACGCTAGAAGAACCACCAGTGACGTCTAAGACTTATGATCATCAATTGGAATCAAATCTTGGCCCTGTGGAAGTGTTTACTAAATCATCTGCCTCCCTGGAGATGACTCAAGGTGTTTCAAAGGAAAGAATTTACCTTGACTCTAGCCTTATAAAAGGGGGAAGTTGTGATCCCAGCCACCAGGAAGGACTTCAGTCGAGGTCCCTTCATTTGTCTACTCAAGAACAATCTGCACATCATCAAGACAGGAGGCAATCCTGGCGGAGAGCAAGTATGAAAGAAACGAACCGGCGGAAGTCACTGCCTCCCATTCACCAGGGCATCACAGGTGGGGTGCTATTACATAAGAGAGTGATGTTCCAGCTCAGATAAGAGGCAGTGAGGTATGTTAGTATGATATAGTGAGACCCCATCTCTTAAAAAATAAAAAAACAGTACAAGGAATAGGAGTGGCAGGAGAGAACAGGAATAGGTAGGTTAAGACTAGATTGTGAAAGATGTTGAATAGATGTGACTTTGAGCAAATCACTTCACCTCTTTGAGCCTCAGTTTCTTCATCTATAAAATGGAGACAATACTACTTAACCCTGTGGGGATGTTCTACATTTATAAGTACTGTTGTCAAACACCTACTAAATGTTCAGTATTATTGCTATGTAGATCATATGATTAGCTGCCACAAACAGAAATTCTGATTTCTAATTGTTCACTCACCTCTGCTAGGATGAGAAACATTAAAAATTTCTTCCTGTGGCTTTCTGCCTCATACCCTAAAGTGGAACAGAAAGTGCCTGGGTTGATACCTGATTTTAGCCTTTATAACTGGAAATACCTCAGAGGGAAGATGCACATAGAAATATCTAGAGTGAAAACCTAGTTTTTAGGGATGCTGTATTTGAATTTGATTTGTGTTATTCTGTGTGAATTTATAATAGTAACTGTATCTCAGCAAGCATCAAGTACAGGATGTCATGTGGAAAGTCTAGCACATTTCAGGAAGAACATACTATTTAATAGCCGTGTGCTCTTGAGCAGATTACTTAACCTTCTTTGCTCTAAGGTCCTCATCAATGAACTGGGGATGAAATAGTACCTATCTGACAGGGTTATGTGCATATTAAATGAGTTGACATATAACAGTACTTGGCACATAGTAAGCCCTCAAATGTTAAGCTGTTGTGATTACTTTTAAGGTATTACTTCACTTCCAGGTGGTCTGATGTGTAGAAGGAAATCTGGGTAAAAACAGCCACCTAGCACACCAGAAAATTGCTGCCATAATGCCCATATGTTTTACTCCCTAGATGTGCTGAGAAAACATTAGTGCTTTCCCAAGATTAGCCCTACCCTCAGCTCTGTGCCAGAGCATTTAGATTTAAAATTCTGTATAATAAAAAAATCACCAACGTAATAAGATTGGTATTGCCTGGTTATTCCTGGCCACCTTCCAGGTTTCCTTGGTTATAGGCAGAAAGTATCCTGTTTTTCTTGCCTAACAGTGGTGATAATTAAGAGAGGAGACAAGACAACTTTGAAAACAGCCAGCTGAAGCTGCAGGGCAAAAAGATATGTAGCTCTCATAATTCCCAAAGCAAACTTGCTTTGCCATGTAATTGTTTTTAAATGGGCATAAATGAAAAAACAGTATCTACATCTTGTAGTTGCCTGAGGATATAGTGGCATAATTATGTAAAATAACCAGCCAATTCAGTCTGATAATTCACTATATGACCTTGGGCAAGTTACCTATTACTGTACAGCCTTAGTACCTGTGTCATCATGTATCATCAAAATAGAATTAAGCTAGCCTGAGCAACATAGCAATCCCCCGTCTCTACAAGAAATTAAAAAATTAACCAAGTGTAGTGGTGTATCCCTATAGTCCCAGCTACTTGGGAGGCTGAGGCAGGAGGATCACTTGAGCAAAGCAGTTTGAGGTTGCAGTGGGCTGTGATGATGCCACTGCACTCTAGTCTGGGTGACAGAGTGAGATATTGTCTCAAAAAAAAAAAAAATTAAAAATTAAATGGAATTAAGATACTTGCCTCAAAGTTTAATGAGGTATACACAGCATTTAATAAGATGCTTTTATATAGCAAGTGTTCAATAAATGTTAGCTACTAATATTATTAGGCCGTTATAGAGAGACAGTGTGGTATCAGTGGGAAAAGCATAAATTCAGACTTGGGTTTGAATTCTGGCTCCACCAGTCTCTGGCCTCAAACAAGTCATTTCCCGTCTGAGCTTCAGTTTCCCCATTTGTGAAATGGAACTCATAGAGTTTATAAGAGGTCTCTTAAGACAATATGTTTAAAGCACATTGTAGTGCCTCTCTTATAAAAATACTCAAATCTTCCCAGATCCTTTCTTAAAATAGTGAATATGAATCATCAAAAAAAAAGTTACTTTATTTTTTATTTACCTTGTTTAACAAAACAACACTTTAATGTTATACATAGATTCTTATAGCATTTTTTTTAAGTTTGGATGCACAAATGGGAAAACTTCATTCCTCAATGGTCCTGAAAAAATTAGATGGAAAAATTAGAATTTTTCACTTTAATCAGAAAAGGCTGCTTCTTGCCTTAAGTTGGACTGCATCAAGAGGGAGGAAATTTTTCAGTTTTGTTACTCTGCTAACTGTAAGTATCCGGTTCCTTAAATCTGACAATATTTTGTTAGAGCTCAGCAGGTCCATCAGTGTCAATTTAGCAGAAAGCAAACGGCTTGGCTCTCTCCTGCTTTCCAGTTTCCAGGTAAGATTCTAAGGACTGGGTAATTTTTTTTTTTAACTGTAATGGTGACCTCTAAGAGATATCAATACTGTGTGGTTAACCTATAAAGATTAAAAGATTTTTCTCTTTAGGTGGGATTAATTTAACAGCCAGATTTAATCCCAGCAGCTGATTTCTCTTTGGCTTGGGCTTTCTACCAATCCCACTGGTGCTGTTGCTGCTAACTGAACAACAAACAGAGATTTCCCCAATATAGTAAATGATGGGAATTTGAAATGGGTTGAGAGATAAAAATCTAAATTATTATGGACATTTGACATCTGACTACATGCTAAATCAACATATGACCCATGTTACAGAGTTTTTTTATTAAAGTTGTATCGTGTGTTATATCGCTAACTGGTGCTTGTATCAGTTTAGATAAGCAAGTAATCTGTGTGAATATAATAACCATTTTTCCCTGAGCCAAAAATCAAAATGCATAGTCAGAGCAACAAAGGATTTTTTCCTGATCTATTTATTTGTTTATGTGGAAAGTCTTAGGTGTAAAAATTAAATCATATTTAGTTTCACATTTATTAAACATCATAAAGTTACATGAATTTAGGACTGGCCTGGAAAATTTTGGTTGTTATACTGAAAATGCTTTTCTTTATTTAGTTCTCTGTTCAGAAACTTGAACCTTTCCTGAGGGACTCTAAGGGCTTCAGTGTTGAAAGTTTTAGAGCCAAAGGTAAGTTGCTAAGAATAGATGAGTGATCTTTGACCCCGGGAAGCCAAAGCCTCCTTTGCAGGATCCCCATTTACAGAACCAACTCCCTTTTTATTCCTAATTGCAAGAATTTATGCTTATTATAAAGCTCAGAGGGGTATGAAAATGAGAAGTAATCTTCCCTTCTACTCAGATCCCTAGTCTTGGCTCCTCTCCACAGAGGCAGCTATAGCCGCCAGTTTCTTGTGTATCCCTGCAGAGATATTTATTGCTTTTCCAAATATTCATTAAAATCATATGAATAACTCTGTGTACTGTTCTATACTTTGTCTTTTTTTTTAACCTAACAATTTATCTTGCAGATTGTTCCATCACATGTGTAGAGCTACCTTGACATTTTGGTAGCCACATAATATTCCATTATATAAATGGAACCATATTTGATTTAACCAGTTCTTTACTGATGGGCTTTTGGGAGCATTTTTTTAGTCTTTTGCTATTAAAATGAGTAGTGTAATGAATTCATTTTTTACACATGCTTTTTGGCTCATATGCAAGTAAAAATTAGATAAATTCCTAGAACTGGAATTAACTTGTTCAAATGAAATGATAGAAATTATGAGATTGCCTTCCAGAGAGGTTGTTATCAGTTTATTCTCTCACCGGCAATATATGCAAGTACCTGTTTTCTCACATTGTCGCCAACACAATTTTATCAAATTTTTAGATTTTCTTACTATTTTATAAGTGATAGAAGATATTTTATAGTTTTAATTTGTCTTCCTTTTTCTTTTGAAGAGGATAAGCATTTTTTCATATTTTTAGAGCTATTCGTACTTTATTTTCTATGTATTATCTATTCATATCTTTGTTTATTTTTTTTTTTTGAAACAGAGTCTCACTGTGTTGCCCGGGCCAGAGTGCCGTGGCGTCATCCTAGCTCACAGCTACCTCAAACTCCTGGGCTCAAGCAATCCTTCTGCCTCAGCCTCCTGAGTAGCTGGGACTACAGGCATGCGCCACCATGCCCGGCTAATTTTTTCTATGTATTTTTAGTTGTCCGATTAATTTCTTTCCATTTTTAGTAGAGAACGGGGTCTCGCTCTTGCTCAGGCTGATTTCGAACTCCTGAGCTCAAACAATCCGCCTGCCTCGGCCTCCCAGAGTGCTAGGATTACAGGCATGAGCCACCGTGCCCAGCCCTTTGTTCATTTTTTAAAATTGGGATGTTGGCTCTTTTATATTGATTTGTAAGAACTCTTTATATAGTAAAGAAATTAGCTGTTTGTCTTTGATATAAGTTAAAAATATTCTTTGCCAGGAATTGATTTTCAGCTTTCTAAGAACTAGCTATTTTCTTAATAGTGTAAATATGCAATCATCCAGGATCAGAAATCCTCAATGTTACCCACTTAGAAGACCTCAGGCTTACTTGACAGTTGAAATTGTTTATCTCAGAATTGTACCATCACCATAATTAAAGTAAATATGCCAGAGTTATCTTGATAGGTAATTAACATAACCTTCCCCTCTGCATTTTTCACCTGAATTTAATAGTGGACTCTTCAAGTCTAGCAGAGACCTATTTTCACCTCATGCCCATAATTTTTTATTTGCCTCTTATTACATTCTTTCCTTTTGCCTGATTTCTGTAATGTTTTCTCTTCCAGTCTAGCAATTCAAATCTCTTGAAAAGAATGAAATATCAGTGCAGATACACCTTTTAAACTGCTTTTTCACTAGTCATTTATAAAACTATTTATCATAAATGCCAAAGAGGAGTTGTCTTCCATTTTATCTGTACCTACCAAAGAAAAAAAATAAAATCTTTCTGTAAACTTATACCATTTTTTTGGGTGGGTAGGGGGCCAAAATGTAACAGGGGACCCTAGAGCCGAGGCTACCTTAAGTATATTATATCTTTGTCAGCAGCTCATTATGAAAATTTATATTCTCTTCATTTTATAACATATAAATTTGTTTTCTTTAGCATCTTCTCTTTCTGAAGAATTTAAGCATTTTGCAGACAAACTGGAAAGTGATGGAACTCTACAAAAATGTTTTGAAGATTCAAATGGGTAAGAGCAGTTCCCCTTCTGTCCTAAATTATAATTGAATTAAGACTTTTGGCCGGGCGCGGTGGCTCACGCCCGTAATCCTAGCACTCTGGGAGGCCGAGGCAGGAGGATCGCTCAAGGTCAGGAGTTCAAGACCAGCCTGAGCAAGAGCGAGACCCCGTCTCTACTAAAAATAGAAAGAAATTATCTGGACAACTAAAAATATATATAGAAAAAATTAGCCGGGCATGGTGGCGCATGCCTGTAGTCCCAGCTACTCGGGAGGCTGAGGCATGAGAATGGCTTGAGCCCAGGAATTTGAGGTTGCTGTGAGCTAGGCTGACGCCACAGCACTCCAGCCCAGGCAACAGAGCCAGACTCTGCCTCAAAAAAAAAAGACTTTTGATTATAACTAGAAAGTTGTTCATTCACTCAACAAACATTTATCCAGCATCTTATGTGCCAGTCTTTTTTAGATACTGGGAATATAGTGATAGGTAAGTCAAGCAAGGTCCCTCTTGTCATACATTGTAATAAAGGAAACAGTCAAACACATAGTGATAATCTAGGAAGGCAATAAATATGATAGTGAGGGCATGAGCAGCTTTAGCTAGAGTATTCAGAAAAGACCCTAGTGCCTTGACCTTTGGACTGAGACCTGTAAGATCTGAATGGTGAGAAGGAATCAGCTGTGAAAAGATGAGGGGAAAAGCATTCTTCAGATCTTTGCTAACCATGCAAAATGAGAGAAACTTTTGTTCTTTGGCTCTTGGCAAGCAAGAACATTAGCAGGAATTTAAAAATCCTACTCCCAAAACTGGTAATTTCTCTACAGGGACAAGACTAACATGTCCAACCCCCATTCCTACCCTGTAACAAATCATGTCACTTGGGCTTACATCATGAACTTTTAAGTTTTGACTACAAAAGGTCTACTTTTCCATGGATTCTTAGGATTGACATTGCTTGTCAGGAAATGAAAAATATTTTAGCTTAACATAGCGTCTCTTAATGTAGTGTGTTTAAACATAGGCTATTGCATCTCAGCCAGAGGTGGTAGAGGCTGAGTGTCACAGGCATTGGTAGAAAAAATAAATGGTAGCATCACTAATTTGTCTTTGCCAGGTAGAGTACCAAGTACTTCTGCAATATTTTGGCATTTTCAGTGCCTGCTTTTTTTTCCCGTTAGAATTACTCACACAGCTGAGCTGAGCCATTGGATAACAGTAGGAATCAAAATTGGCAAGCTGGGTGGAGCCAGGAAACTACAGAGCCTTAAGTGCCAGATTAATGAGTTTTGACTTTTCTTCTGTATGCAGTAGAGAGTCACAGTTTTTAAGCAAGCAAAAAAATTAAAAGGAATATTTTAAGAAAGGTTAATCTGACCAGGGTTTGAACTGGAATCGATGAGAGACAGAACATAAAGAGATACTTTAGAATGCTATTACCTAGTGCAAAACTGAAAGATAAAAATTACGAATGTTTTATTGCCATTAAAATTATGTAAGGCATTATATTCAATCAAGTGTTTCTTGAAAGATTCCTGTTAATCTCATAATCCTATCTGTTTCCCAGAAAAGCATCAGATTTGTCTCTGGCAGCATCAGTGGCTGAGATGAAGGAATACATAACAAAGTAAGTGAAAATGAACAAACTTTTGTTGGAAAATCTAAATTCATTTTCCACCTGGGGAAAATAAATAAACCTGGGAAAAATGAATAGTAAGCATTGCATTCAGAGAGTCAGTACTAAAACATCAATACCAGAAGTTAGAAGGCTGTATATTGAGAGTTTTACAGGCTGTACTAATGGCCAGTTTCATAGAGTGGAGTCTAGGGAATAGGATGTTAATTTGATTTTAAGAACTCAGGTTTGATTTGATTAAATTAATGTTCTCTGAATGGGTCAAGCTTTCCTTTTATGGCCTTTCAACTCACATTTTATAACCAGATTATACACCTAACTTACTTATTGTTGTCCTGAGTGATTCAGAATGAGATGACAAAAAAATCAGCTGAATTTTTTTTTCCTGATTCTATAGGTTTTCTTTAGAACGTCAGACTTGGGATCAGCTCTTGCTGCGCTACCAGGCGGAGGCTGAAGAGATATTATCCAGGTTAGATCTATGAATTGGAAATAAGCTGTCTTTTTACCTTATGGAGTTTTATTTGAGTTTATTTCATTTCTGTTAGCACAAATTGAATGATGAATCCTATCTTACAGGCCAGTCAGTTCAGCAAGCTTCTATAAAGTCTATATTATTAATAGCACTCTCTAACCATAAATGGAACATAAGGGAGAAGGAGGGGAGAGTTGGTGTCACCAGTTGCTGTCCAAGAACAGAATTGCCTCTGTTCTGTGTCCTTGGCTGCCATTTTACATCCTGGAGGAGACAGGCACATCTCTGCCTTGTACCTGGCAACCTAGGGCTGGGCCAGGAACCATAGTCAAGGGACTTCAGTGACCACATAGCTTCTGGGCTGCAGGTTTGGGGGATGCCCCTGGCTAGGACCTTTGTAGAGACACAAAGACATGAAAGGGGGTGGTAGAGGAGAGTGTAAGGAGAGAGGATCTTTGGTTGGGTCTTAAAGGCAGAGGAAAGTGGGAAAGTGCTAGAGTTTGATTTAGTTGAACATCTAAGCCAGTGGTTTTAAGCTTGTTTTCCAAACCAAATTTTAGCTAGAAACGCAACTACAAAATGTAAGCTAAAACCCTAATTGCAAAAGTGGCCTCTCAGTAGAGAGGGGCTTTGAAGAACATAGTTCGAAAACCTTCCCCAAACTGGCCATGACGGTTATCAGTTACTTTATTCACCCCTTATTCTTTTTATGAAGATAGATAATGGGCAAGATGGCAGTTTGCAAATAAAAACTTTGTGGCAAAGCTTATAGGTTAAGAGGAATGCTTCTGGAAACAGACTTCGTTCGGGTCCTTGGGCAAGTCACTTAATCTCTGTGAGCCTGAGTTTCCTCATTTGAAAATGGGATATACCTATCTTCATTGGGTTATTGAGAATGTTAAATGAAGTTAAATGGAAAGTGCCTAGTACTATCTGGCACCTACTAAGCACCCAGTAAATTGTCGTATTTGTTATTAGTAAAGGGTTATCCTCAGTTTTGATGAACTCTCAGTCCTATTCAGTTATTTTAGATAATTGAGGTAGACCAGCATTTTTTTGGTAAATGATCATAGACATTGAATTTAGAATACCAAGCTTTGGCTTCACTCTACCCCAAGTATAGTCCTTGTATGTGGACCTTACTGTTAGGTGGAGTCAACTGACCTGAAGCTTCCAGCATTTCCTGGAATCCAGAGGTATAAAAACATTAATAGTAGACAATTATTGAGAACCTCTTATTAATAAGAGCTGCCCAATACCTAGGGTAGGTTGGAAGAAACTGATTCAGCCTTATAAAATATTTTTTCCCAAGATAATCTTTGATATCTTTCCCAGAAAATGATTATAAAATTCCTTGAAAGCTCTTTTGCTTTGTTTTGTTTTGTTTTTAGAGATTCTACTGAAGCCAAAGTGGAACCCGTAACATATCTTGGGTCTTCCCAAAGTGAAGTGCTTAATACAAAGCCTGACTACCAGAAAATATTACAGAACCAGAACAGAGTTTTTGATTGTATGGAGTTGGTGGTAAGTGGGCTCATGTTTATTTGGTTGAGTTATCCAGCCTTGCTACCTTATAATCCTTAGAAATTAAAAGACCTGGAGAATGTACGGAATAAGTATATTCAGCTCCATCTTGAGGAAACATGGAGAGACAATTAAAAAATAATAAACAAGTTACTGTACAGTGGTAAGAGCTGATAAAGCAGGGTAAGGGGGACAGAGTACAGACAGGGTGGCAGGTTGCTATTTTATACAGTGTGGTTATTGAAGGCCCCTCCGAGATGCCATTTGAACAGAGACTTGAAGGAAATGAGCCCTGAGGACGTTTGGGGAATAGTATTGTGTCAATCCAGGTATCAGATAACTTGCTGACTGTAGAGCACTTTGACTTTTTCCTAAAAGTGATGGAATTTATGCATCTAAAAGAACATTGTATAGATGCTTTTTCCAGAAATGTACAAAATGCTTGAAATTTCTTTTTTGAAAGCAGATGGCATTTGAAATAGGGCAATTCAAGAAGACTTTGTTTTCAAAGAGGCTATGTATGAAGGTGTGGATATTGGGGAAACCACAAGGGTTAGTGCAGTAACCTGGGGCTTAGAGGCAGCAGAGCTCTAGGAGGAGGAGGAGCACCTGGGGGTGGCACCTAGGGGAAGAAAGTCACATAGTTGGCCGCTTTGAGAGAGCCATACCTTCAGTTAAGGGACATAGGTAACTCAAGATGACCCTTCCAGGAGCAAGCCTGACCTCATTCAGCCCCTTCCCACTTGGGCTCCCTCTTGGCCATACCCAACAAGAAGCCAGAGGACATGGCATCCTGTTGGTAGAGGTCATACGGGTCAGCTTCTGGGGCAGAGAGCAGCCTGGGGAAGATAGGAGCAAATAGAATGTCTGGCATAAACATTCCACATTGGAAGAACAGCAAGCCCAAAGCTCCTGAGTAGGAGCTTGTCTGATGGGTTTGAGGACCATCTGAGAAGCCATGGACCCTTGTAGCTCACAGCTGTCTTTTGTGTGCAGATGGATGAGTTGCAAGGATCTGTGAAGCAGCTGCAGGCCTTTATGGATGAAAGTACCCAGTGCTTCCAGAAGGTGTCATTACAGCTTGGTAAGCTTGTCTCTTGAGAGGAACAGAGCTTGGGCTGTCTTACTTGATAGACTTTGAGATACAAACTGCCCTTCAAAGCATATGGTCCCAGAGAGTAAGACCTGTATCAGGTAATTTTTTTTTCTCCCCACAATAAGTAATATGTTTTGAATACTCAGAGTTGATGGGAAATTTGTAGATGTAAATTCCACAAAAGCACAGTGGACTAGGAATTAAATTCCCATGAACTGTTCTTTTCGTAAATCCATGACTTAAAAAATACGCATTCCTGGCTGGGTGTGGTGGCTCACGCCTGTAATCCTAGCACTCTGGGAGGCTGAGGCAGGAAGATCACTTGAGCTCAAAAGTTCAACAGCAGCTTCAGCAAGAGTGAGACCCTGTCTCTACTAAAAATAGAAAAAATTAGCCAGGCATGGTGGTGTGCACCCGTAGTTCCAGCTACTTGGGAGTCTGAGGCAGAAGGATTGCTTGAGCCCAGGAGTTTGAGGTTGCTGTGAGCTGGGCTGACGCCACGCCACTCTAGCCCAAGCAACGGAGTGAGACTCAGTCTCAAAAAAAAAAAAACCATTCCCTTTTCCCTCTTCATTTTTTAAGAATCCACTAAGTGACACTGACAGTAGTCCTCCATAGCTTTTCCTGACCTTCTCCCGCCCTAATTATTTGCTATACACACCTTCATTTTCTTATTCATCACACTGTACTATGGTTGTAGTGGTGGCTGGCTTTCTTATCAGACCGCCATCTCCTTGAGGACAGAAACTCTCTTATTTGTCATTGTAATGCCCTTCAATGTCTGGCACAGTGTCCACTCATTAAGTTTTCAATAAATGTTATGTGAATTCAATAGAAATTTAACTTCGGCCCCTTTTCTCTACAGGGAAGAGAAGTGTGCAACAATTAGATCCTTCGCCAGCTCGAAAACTACTCAAGCTTCACCTGCAGAACCCGCCTACCACACATGGATCTGGATCTTCTCAGTGACCTTATGCAGCTTTTCTGCCACAAGGTGCTCAAGAGGAGAGGAATGGAAAGAGTGCCCTAGCACATGCTGACTGTGTGGAGATTTCTGCCCTTTTGCCTTTGAAGATAACTTGCTGACTGTAGAGCACTTTGACTTTTTCCTAAAAGTGATGGAATTTATGCATCCAAAAGAACATTGTATAGACGCTTTTTCCAGAAATGTACAAAATGCTTGAAATTTCTTTTTTGAAATGACCTCCAAAACCAGTGGCTCATTCTTTTAAATATCCTTCATGGTCAGAAACCTTTATCCTTTGAAGATATTTTTCAGGTTTTGAAACAACCCAAAGGCATTAGAACCAAGTCTAATGAAACATTTTAGAAGCCAAGTTGGGTTCTGCATGTAAAGGAATGAGACTAATTTTCTAGTGGTAGCTCTACAGGCTATTTTAGATAGAAGAGTTTTGAGCATCGTTTGCATCATTGGGATACATATATCACTTCACAAGGTGTCCAATTTGAAGGAAATACCACTCATTCTTTATGTCCTATTGTGTATAGTCTGCTTTAGTTTTAATATTGAGTTACCTCCTGAATCCTGGATTCATAGCAAGAAGGGGCTATGTACTACTTTTAATTGTTTTTTGTATTTGTTTATAATCTGCATTACAAAATTGCATATAACTAAAAGATTTCCCTTGTCTTTGTGTATGTTTTGAGTACATACAAAAATTTAAAAAGTCAGGGAGGGGTTAGCAGAAAATAGGATTCTTTGCCAAGCTGCTGAAATAAACAGTAATGTTGAGATATGCCTCAGCATTAATTACCAATAAAACACCATCTTAGTTATTGTTAATGTTTCTTATTGTCTGATCCCACTAATGGGACAACACCCATTTCATTTAAACACCTAGTCATAATCGTAAGCCTTAAAGCACCAGTTAATGGAAATTGATAGGCCATGTGCAGTGGCTCACACCTGTAATCCTAGCACTTTGGGAGGCCGAGGTGGGAGGATTGCTTGAGGCCAGGAGTTTGAGACCAGCCTGAGCAAAATGATACCCTGATTCTACCAAAAAAAAGTAGAAAAATTAACCGGGCATGGTAGCTTGTGCCTGTATTCCCAGTTATTTGGGAGGCTGAAGCAGGAGGATCTCTTGAGCCCAGGAGTTGGAGGTTATAGTGAGCTTGGATGGTACCACCACACTCTAGCCTGGGCAACAGCAAGACATTGTCTCAATAAAAAAAAAAAAAGAATTTGATATTTCCTTGCTTTGACCTCCATGCATTCTTTATTCCTTTATATATTTACTGAGTCCCTGCTATATGCCAGGCACAGTTCTAGGAACTGGAGAGAAAACTAGCAAAAACAGACATGGGCATTGGGCATCGTGCTCACACCTGTAATCCCAGCACTTTGGGAAGCTGAAGTAGGAGGATCAGTTGAGGCCAGGAATTCAGGACTAAATTGGGCAACATAGTGAGACACTGTCTCTAAAAAGAAAAACAAAAAATTAAAACAGATAAGGGAGCTCCTCTCATGATGCTCACAGTCTACTGGGGACACAAGGAACAAGAAGAGAAAACTGCAGAAGAGAGATTTTAGCTGACTTAAGAAGGACAAAGGAGTTCAATGGGACAAGTATTTCAGGCAAAAAGAGCACCAATTTTGAAAGGCTTGAGGAGAGGGAGAGTGGAGCATTCTGGGACACACACACAAAAAAAACCCCAAAAAAATACCTAATAAAGCAGGAGTGCTGGGCACCAGTGGAAGAGTGGCCTGAGACAAGGATAACTGAAAGTCATTAGCTTTAAGAGAGGGAGAGAGGATCAGAAATTTATTTTCAAAAGATCTCTTCAGTTGCTGTGTGGGGAGCAGATAGAAGCAAGCAAGATGTGGATGTGAGAGACTGGTTAGGCTGATGCAGAAGTCTAAGTGAGAAATGACAGCTTGTGCCAGGTGCTGGCAGTGGATGAATAGGGTGGGACTGTCTGTTGCTCATGGTTTCTGGAACATGGGCATGTAATCTATGTGTTAAAAAGCTAACTCTTAATGATTTTGAGGTATTTTTTTTTTAAAAAAACTAACTCTACCACTTACTAACTTGGACTGAGAAAAAGTTATTTAACCTCTTATCTGTAGGTTGGGAAAATGATAGAAGCTGTATCTCAGGGATGCTATGAGGATGAAATAACGAGTTTGGAACAGTGGTATCAATATGCTGCAAGGGGTGAAGGTTGAACAAGTGGGTGGATGATATAGCAGTTAATGAGATGGGAAAGCTAGTAGTTCAATTTGGAATACCAAATGGAGAAGTCCACTAGATTGTCAGATAATATAGGTGAGCTGTGTAGAAAAATCCAGGCTAGAGATAAAATTTGAGAGTTACTGACTGGTCGGAGTGCAGTGGTATTTACAACTAATTGATCACAATCGTTACAGATTACTTTGTTCCTTTTCCATTCCTACTGCTTCAACTTGACTAGCCTTTAAAAAAAATTGAAAGTTACTGATACCTAGTTATTGGCGACTTGAGAATGAATGATATTGTCTAAAGTAGAACAAGGAAGGAAACTTCAGACAGGCTCAAGGAAAGCCAACATTTAAAAATCAGAGGCATGATGTTAATTGCCTACTCTTTCAGAAGCAGAGTTAGTATAATGAAAAGAGTGTAGAGTTTGTAGTGAATCATCATCTCTTATCCTCAATTTCCTCATCTGTAAAATGGGGATAGATTGCCTCTTTAAAGGTAATTATATAATACTTTACCCATTTTATTTATCACATGATTATTGCATTTTTTTTTTTTTTTTTGAGACAGAGTCTCACTCTTTTGCCCAGGCTAGAGTGAGTGCCGTGGCATCAGCCTAGCTCACAGCAACCTCACACTCCTGGGCTCAAGCAATCCTTCTGCCTCAGCCTCCCAAGTAGCTGGGACTACAGGCACGCGCCACCATGCCCGGCTAATTTTTTCTATATATTTTTAGTTGTCCGATTAATTTCTTTCTATTTTTAGTAGAGACGGGGTCTCGCTCTTGCTCAGGCTGGTTTCGAACTCCTGCGCTCAAATAATCTGCCTGCCTCGGCCTCCCAGAGTGCTAGGATTTGCAGGCGTGAGCCACCGCCCTGCCTGCATTTTTTGATTATAAGGATTTGTTCAAACTCAGTAAGAAGTGTTTTGTGTCTTCAACAGCTAAACAGGATAGAACATTTAGCTCTGGGCATTTTACATGTGTATTATCATTTAGTCTTTACCACACTTATAACTTTTTTTTTGTCATTATAGATGAGGAACTCAGGCATGGAGAGGCTGAATAATCTAACCAAGGACATATATAAAGTAAGTACTGGAGGATGAACTAGAACCAATATGGCATTCAGTAAACGCTAACAAATAAACATAAATCATATAATAAAGGGCTGTCCTCAATTAATGTTAGTTTTCTCTCTACCCAAATTTGGTTTAGGAATTGTGCATGACGGATAACGGTACTATTGCTGCCCTCTGAGATGTTTCGTAATATTTATTTGTGCCATTTGCCCTAATTTAGTTAAGAGAATATCTTACTTTTAGTCAGTGATACTTAATATTAGAGAAATAATAGATTAATAAACTCTTTAGAGGAAGAGATTATGTCCCGTACATTTTGGTGTTATTTAAATTGTTGCGTTATTAAGCAACATACTATATGCAATCATTCTGGAGAAAAAAATTCCATCTCCTGCTACACTCGAGAGAGTGAATGGGGTGGCTAGCAGTTGTAATAGAGGCGATACAATGGAGGACTGGGAATTAGGAGCCTTGAGTCTCAGATTCTAGTTCTTCAATTACTGTGTTCATTCACCAAAAATTTACTAAGGCCCTATGTGCCAAGCACTGTGCTAGGTGCCATGTGACTGTGACCTTAGGTATGGCTCTAGGCGTCCTTAAAAGGAGGATGCTGTGCCCTGCAAGGGTTCTTAGGAGCTTCATCAAGATGCGAGTCAGGAGAAGGGAAGGAGCACACCCGGACATAGCACTAAACGCCCCTCCGTCTCGGCAGTTCTTAAGCCTGAGATTCTTCTCCCAGGAGACTCCACAGCAAGTAAAACTACATTCAAGATGGTGCCGCCAGCCCCTCACAGCTTGGCCACCATCTTCTCGGTAGTTCCCGAGACAGTCGGACGCAGTGCGCCTGCGCGGGCCCTTCCAGCCTCAGCGCGCCTGCGCGGCTGCAGCGCCTCCCCCGCCCCTCTCGCCGCCGCTGCTGCCGCCGACGCCGAAGCTGCTGCACTGACGGCGGGTGCCCGCGCCTCAGGTGAGTGAGAGAGCGCCTCAGCCCGGCCCCCTGGGGCCGCGCGGCGCCGCATGCGGGGGCGTCGCTCCTTCTCCCTGCTCCTTCCCCGCATCGTCTCCGCTGCGCGGCGGGGCCTCGGGGGTCCTGTGCTGCCTGCCTCCTCTGGACCCCCGGCGCCCTCCTTTCCGCCCGCGGGACCCAGGTCAGCCCGGCCTCCCCCGGCCGCTCCCTCAGCCCAGCCCGCCGGCTACAGCGTGCGGGCTGCTAGGGGCGAGCGTCCCTCTGGGCGCCGACACCTTGGTCGCAGGGACAACCTCCCCCAATCCCCGCAGTCGCGACCCCCTTCCCCGCTCCTGCTCTGCAGGCGGCGGAGCTCCGTGGGCCTCTGGGTTGGGCATCCATCTACCTCGCCCGCCCAGAGCACAGAGGCTTGGAAGGGGAGCCGTGGGCACTTCTTGCGCCCGTGCGGCCCTGAAGCAGCAGAGGGCATCCTCTGATGGGACCCTACGACGACCCTTCAGAGAAGAGGCTTCTTAGCCTCACTTTACCGCCGAGGAAACTGAGGCACAGAGAGCTGAAGTGCCATGCCCAAGGTCACGCGGCTGACAAGTGGCAGGGCCAGCTCTGGAACTCAGGGACGCGAGCTCTCAGACTACTGCAGTTGGAATTTGATCTCATGCCTTTGAAAAATTTGAAATACACTTGTCGCTGAAGTTGCTCGTAAACGTTATAAAAGTAGGCTGCAAAAAGAATATTTTCTTGTTGTCGGAGTACAATTGAGGTGTTACTGTAATTAATAGTGGCCATATTAATAAGAACTAACGTTAATCCAGTGTTTGCTATGTGTCTCGCTAAGCATTTTACTAAGATTATCTCAATACCTCAGCACTGCCCAATCCAATGCTTCCCCCTTCCTTTTCCTGAAGCCCCTTTTTCTGCAGAGCTGGCCTCCCTGTCACAGGTAGACTAGGAGCCTCACGGCTTAGGAGCCAAGGAAGCTCTCCTTTGGTGGCTTAGTGGAAGAACAGGGGTAAGCCTTGCTTGCCTGCGTCAGATTTTCCCCCAACCCTGGCCCCCAGGGGATAGAAGTAGTCTTCCTTTCCTGGCTGCCAGGAGAGCAGGACTGGGCTGGCTGGGCTGAATGGACTTGGAGGTGACAGAGCAGATTTGGCGAGCACTCACCTCATTCTGGGACTTTCTCGCTCTGCTCTAATGCTGGGCTCGAACAGTTCAGTATTTAAGATCAAGTAAAAAGAGAAAGAGCATTGACACAGTGGTGCTGAATATAAGAAACCTCCCATGATTTAAAGTTCCAAATGAACAGTTATAAAAATATGTGAATGTTTCTGCCCCAAAATAACTAGCTCAGACTGTCTTTTTTTTCTCCCTTAGCATATCCTCCATATTTCAAAGGCTCCACTATATCACCACCTTCTCTGTGAAGCCTTCCCTGCTTGATTTTCCCAATTAGAATCTCTATTTCTCTCTCACACGCACACCGGAGTCTTACCTTCAGTTTTACCGCTAGGACTATTAGCTCCTTGAGGTTAGGGTCCATCTTTGCAACCCCAAATGTCTGGTTCACAGTAGACCTTTGGTAAAGACTCAGTGAATTTCCACTGCTGCTTTTCATTACCCAAAGGGTGATGTTCTCCTGCTGCCCTTCTGTTCTTCCTTCTTGCCCTTCAATTTCTCTTTGCTGTCTTCCTTTGGATTCAACTTAGGACAGTCATCACTCACCACTCAAAGGCCTCTGTCTACCCTGTTGTTTCTGAAAATTTGCAGATAAGAGTCTTGTGAAGCCTGTTTATCCCCAACAGTGGAGTTGGTATATACTGCTTAAGTGTACAGGGCGGTTTTAATTTGCATATTGCAATTGAGTAGTCTGAGGTTTACAGCCTTTTAGTCTGTCCCTAAGCACATGAGAGATCCATTTTTACATTCGTTTGCTTTGTGGCTGACTGCCCCTGTTGATATTAGAGTAATCACAATTTTTACCATATATCATTACGTGCTATCTATAATAATAAATATTCAAAAGAGCCCTTTGGGAAGCAGGAGAAATGTGCATAGGTTCTCTATATAAATGTAGCTTCTTAAAGAGTTTTTCCCAATTTTTTGCAAATATATCAACCTATTATGTGTAAGGCATAATATGATGCTGGGTTTAGTGGAAGACTCACAGGTGAATCAAACATGGTTCCTGTTGAAAGAACTTAGCTAATTGGGAAACACTGTATCTAACTGCGAGGCAAGTCTAAAAATTGCCATATTAGTGTTACAAACTACGCAGTATTAGAGTATAATGGAATAAGATATTCCAACGTGGGACATTTCATGAAATCTTATTCTATTCAAGCTGAAAAGAAGCATTGAGTCCTTGAGTCCAGCCTTCTCAATTTCGTAAATATCATCCTGAGAGATGAACTTGTGCAAGGTTGCAGAACTGGGGTTACAACTTGAAATTCCAGACTTTTTGTCCAGTAAAGGTTTATCAGTATTTTTTCTCTCTGTGAATTCATCCTTAAAGATATTAACCAGCAACTCTACTAAAATTCCATTTATGTGCTTTGAACAGGGGTAGGGGAAGAGAGATAAAAAGTAGGATTCATGTTTTCAAGGAGCTTATGGTCTGTTGCTCTCTAACATTGAAGACAGTGTATACCTAACTGTTAAGTTGTATAGGAGAGGGACTAGGTGTGTCATAGGAGTTAGGGAAAGGGGGCAAGAAGGGTCAGTATGAGCTGTCACCACAACTGAGACCACTTTGAGGAGTTAGGACCTTCTGGGCTTTGACAGATTGAGAGGGTCAGAGTTAATCAACAAGACAAGGAAAACATTTTGAAGCAGGAGTGA